AATAGAACGCCAATCTTAAGATTCCTAGCCGCAGACTTGTTTCGTCGTTGCGGTTTCCCTTGCTTGGTTTTACGTGGAAATTGTCAGCAAATGGCTGGGTTTTTTTCCTTTGCAATTCACAAAAGATTCTAAATAATTTACTTTTTAAGCTAACAATTCCAAGTATTTGAAACAGTGCTATGGGAATTTTTATTTCGATTTTGTTTCGTGTGTTAAAATTACTAATTGGTCAAATTAAATGTTTGTATGTTTTTTTTTGTTAATTTCCAAAATTGTGTTGTTTAATTACTTTTAGCAGCACACCAAACTAATGATAAGTAATTATAAATCAATGAACTCTAACTCTTTGATATGAAGGACAATTTGAATATGAGAATATATAAATAAAACAGCAATATTTATTTATTTTTGTTGGTTGATGGAATTTAAAACGCCATCACAGTACTGTACTGAATTACCCACAAAACAACAACAGCAAATATAATTTTATCATTTAACAACTGTTTAAATATTATTAATAAATATCAACAACACACACACATGGAGTGAGAGTTAAAAGTTCTTAAGATCAATTTGGATTTCCCTTAAATTATTGTTTGTTTTTGTTTTGTTATGTGAGTGTTCCAACCTACCATATGTACGGAAATCCACAATTGATGACGATCTAAAGTAATGGCGGCGGCAGCCTGAGTACCAGTATTTACAAATAAATCGCAAGGTATTCCAATCAGCCACTTGAAATATCTGTTTGAAAAGTTCAAGAGTTTCAAACATTATTTATTTGCCTTTGTGCAAAGAATTGAAAGAAACAATTTAAGATTGACAGTTTGATAATTATGGAGGTGGTTGTATAAAGTATTTGATTTTTTTTGGTGGGGTTCAGAAATTCCAAAAGACTTCTTTTATTGATTAATGAGATACATACTAAGTAGAGGGGTGTTTTGGAAATTTAAAACATTTTTTTTGAAGTTGACTTTATGATTTTTTAGGTATTTTTGCGAAAAAATTGTCCTTTTTATACCCTCCATCAAAGTATGGAGGGTATGTTAAGTTTGTCATTCAGTTTGAAACACCTCGAAATATACATTTTAGACCCCACAAAGTATATATATTCATGATTAGCATAAAATTCTATGTCGATTTCAAGTTCGTAATGAATACTACAGCCTAAGACAGAAATTTGTCTGTGCAGGTCCTCTCGATATTTTGGTGATTTTAGCGACATTATTCACCGGAATCGTTTCAAATTTGGTATTTGAAGTTCGTAAAGCCCCCATTAAACGGTGCCTCCCGATATTCGGTCAAAATTTTGATATAGCTCCCATATGTATTTTCGTCCGATTTGCCTTTGATTGTGCACCAAGCGTGCAATATCAGGCCAGATAGTATTGAATTTGACATATACGACCAAATTAAGCCTGGAAATACTAAGTATGCCAAATTTGGTGAAAATCGGTTTAGATATAGCTATAGCTCCCATTAATATTTTTCAACCGATTTGTTATTTTTTTCCTCTTCAGCCGTAAAATGCACTCTGTAACAATGATATTTGGGGAAATATATCAAACACAGCTCAGAAATGCCTTTGCCAAATTTTATCGAAATCGGTTCAGATTTGGATATAGCTTCCATATATATCTTCGTCCGAATTGTCTTTGATTGTGCATCAACCGTGTAATATTATCCCAAATGGGATGGAATTTGGCACTAACGACAAAATTGAGCCTAGAAATATCAAATTTGTTGAAAATCGGTCCAGATATAGCTATAGCTCCCATATATATGTATAAGCGATTTCAAATTTATTTGTGCACCAAATGGGTAATAAGCCCGAATTTCATAACACAATTCTTCAAATTTCTTGTTACTATTAGAAAATTTTCCTCAGTTTTTTTTTTACAAATTTTATAATTATGATGACATTTGATTGATTTATACATGACTTCAGTACAATTGCAGTCAGTGGTGGTGACTGACTGGTACATTTCATGTTCATCAGTATTACTACTTATTATTGGCTGTTATCAGTTTGGAAAAACCATTTGGGAAATACCATTAGAATTATTTACTTGAGATCATATGCAATTGAATGGAAATGCATTGTGTTTAGTAATGTGTTAACAAAAAATCGAAAGTTCTTTAAAATGGCATTAAAGATCTTAAAGTTTGAGTGTTGAAAGCTACTTGTGAAATAATGAGGAAATACCATGAACCATTTGAAGAACTGATTGATTTGAGTTTGCGGATGCCAACAACGGTCAAGTAATTTTGATATGTTTTTATTTTTTCACTAACTAGAAAATGTAAATTTTGTTATATTAGTTCGTTTACCATTCTCTCTAAATGCCATATAATTTATGCCATGAACACAAAACTTGCCGTACAACCTTCGGGGAGAAAACCCTACTACGTTCTTAAATAGTTTGGAGGCGAAGTCGTCTTGTTCTTTTTTCCGCACATTTCTTTAAGAATTGAAATAACAGATTCTTGTTTTTGGCCAGATTGATTACTCACACCTTTGTTTAAGTTTTGGTTGGTTGGTTGGTGGATTCTGGGTCTTGTTTGTTGCTTTGCTCTTGGGAAATCCCCAAACAATGTTTCCATCTTTCCAATTTCTATTGACAATGGCGTAGACAGATCTATTGCCTTTTTGTGTGTTGTTGTTGTTTGAACTTATTTGCTAGCTTGCCATTCATTCAAGTTTTTAACACCATTCCTTTTTCTTTCCTCACCAGAGTTAGCATCTATCTCGCCAAAAAAAAAAAAAAAAAACTTGAAAGTTTTCTTCTTGTGTTGTTTTGAAAATGTTTAGTGTTTGAATATGTTAAACTAGAATCATCATTGGTGCCTTAACTCTTTTCAAAACTTATAAATAATTTATGTGTACTAGAATGCTACGCCTAAGCCTTGAATGGATTAGATTAATATGGCAAAAAAAAAATTAAAAATGCTATTTTTTTATGACTAACTAACATTCATTAATTATGAAGATTTCTAAAAATATTTAAATGCTATTTTTGGAAAGAGCGGCGAATTTATGGTGGAGAAGGAGGAGGAGGGAATTTGATTGGATTCGTTTGGATGGGATTTTTTGGATTACTAACATTGGTAGTGACCCAGCGATCTGCTGTTGCACGCGCTTGTCTTTTAAGTTGGCCAACCAGTTTTACCGTTTTGTTGTCAACACCTTTCTCAGATTTCTTAGCCGGCTAACCAGCCAGCCAGCCAATCAGCCAGCTCACCACACAGCATCATATCTATTTTTATTGTAATTCTTGGTCAAACATCTATAAAAGCAACAACAACTATAACAATATTTGATATCATTTGCATATAGTTATGCATACAACACGAGCCATAAATTGCTTATAGTTACCAAACGTTTATACAAAATCGAGAAAAAGAGAAAAAAAGCCATAATGACAACATTGACTTTGCGGGCCATTGGAATTGTTGTTGTTTTTGTTCCACAAAACTGGAATAACATGTAAATGCATGCCGCCTTTTGTAGTGCATGGAATTACAATGAGCTCTGGGGAGTGAGTGGAGCTGTCAAATAACTCTCGCTCGCTCGCTCTCCATTTATGTCATCCAAAGAAATGGTGGGAAATACCAGGTCAGTGATGTAAAAGATGATTGGATTACTGGCAATTTTTGAATGCTGATCGGGGGAGGAATGCATTATCGATATAAATATCGATTACACTCTCATTAAAATATTCGAATCATTCCTCTTTCCTGAATAAAAGCTCAGCACATTCTTTCATTAATCATTTGACAGAAATAAGAAATAACGCTGACAGGCAACAGTAATTGCTACAGCATATTGCTGAGACGGCTGCAGCGCACAGCACAGACGAAGTGACTGACATACCGAAAAAAGAACACTATGTGTACTCAAAAAAGAAAGAAAGAAAAAAAGAGGCGAGCAGGAATGCCATTCATTTAAATAAAACAACGTTTGTTGGCTATTGGCATTTTGCGCTCCGGTTGTTGTTATATTTGTTTGTTGGTTTTGTGATATCTTGGCTATTTTGTTGTTGTTTCTGCTGCAGCAATTGTTGTTTTGTATTCAGGAGTATTGTTTTAATTTCAATCGTCTTTTGTTCTTGTTGTTGTTGTAGTTTCGTTTTTAAGCATTGTAGTGATACATGTTTGTTTGTATGTTTGCTATACTCAACTCGTTTTTATATGATGGGAATTTCACGGGTTTTTCTGTTATAAACAAGCCATGCAAACACCAACGTACAAACAAACGAATGAGCAGCGAACGAATCAAGCAACCAACAATCGGACGAACGAATCAAAATGAAACGCTTGTCGATCAGCCCGGCCGACTCCCAATACCTGCCAATACACAAAACAATTCAGCTCAAATCAGCCCTCCTCCCCCTCTCACTTCTTTAAGCCGTATCACTCACAAGGTATTCATATGCCCCTTCTTTCCTGTCTTGGGATGATGAAGAGTTAAGACCGATTACTTGGTTAACCTCTTGTCAGCCAGCGCCTACCCTCTTCATATACCCCAATTTTCTTATTTAAACATCTAATTTAATTCAAATCATTTTTTCTTCTTCTCTAAAATACTATGCATACATACACGTACATGTTATAGCAACAAAAAGCAACAACAACAACAGCAAAATGGTAAAAATTTAAAACGCGCTTCGCTATTTATATTGCCTTCATTTCTGCTGGCATATTCACACAATGTCTAGTGTGAAAAACAACAACAAAAATTAAATATGCAAAGCTTTTTCTGAAACGCCAACACTGATAAGCCCAGCTTGATGATAGCTTAACGATTTTCTACACACACTCACACGCACAGAAACATTAATACACAGAGCAGTTGTATTTCACATTTCATTCATTTGTACAAGATTTTCGAAATCGAAATTAAAAAAGCTTTAAGTTTTAATATAGAAAGGAAAACCGTTAAGATTTAATATTATTTAAATTATTTATTAATTTTATTTTTTCTTCTTTCTTTTTTTTAGGTGAAAGATGTGTTCATCTAGCTGCCCAGGCTGGTTACATTGATATTTTACGCATTTTGGTTTTATACGGTGCCGATATTAATGCCAGGGTAAGTTTTGCTACGACACAACAAATTTTAATATCCAACTTATTTTATTCTCCACAAAAGAAGAAAAAAACTAATAATTTTCATTGCTTGTTTTTCCATTTGCAGGAAGGCAAATCTGGACGTACCCCCCTACACATTGCCATCGAGTGTTGTAATGAAGATTTGGCCAATTTCCTTTTGGATGAATGCCAGAAATTGAATTTAGAGACCGCCACATATGCCGGCCTAACAGCATACCAAGTAGCATGCGTTTTAAATAAATCAGAAATGCAAGATATTTTGGAAAAACGTGGCGCTGAACCTCTAACTCCACCCGACAGTGATTATGATAGTAGCGACATAGAAACAGATCTTGACGATTCAAAGGTGAGCTTGTAGAAAAGTTAAAGAAAAACAGAAAAACAAAACAAAGAAATTTTCTGAAAAAACATAAACTACTACTCCCACTCCTTAGTACTACTACTACTGAACTGGCATTCAGATTGGAAACAACACAAATATTAGTTTTAAATTAAAAGAAAAAAAAAAAAAAACAAACTGAAAAACAAATTGATATTATTAATCAAGTGTATTGTCAACCAAAAAAAGGAAATTCCCCAAAAAATATTAAAAAAAAAACTGTAATACAAAAGAAAATAACAATAATAATTATAATAATGCTCAAAGATGTTTCATTTTGTTTTTAAGTAATCACAATTATATATGATGATGTATGTCCTCCTGTAGTTCTATGTTTTAGTAGAGCTAATTTTTACGACAAATGAAAATGAAACAAAACTAATTAAAAAAATAAAAACAAATTAAAAAAAGTAGCCAATATCCAAAACTAAACAAAAAAATAACAAAAATACAAAACATGTCCTTATTTTAGTGTATTTTAGAACAAACATTTAGCTGTAATTGTCCCCCCCCCCAAACCCATATTCTACCCATCTATGTTTAGATTATTATGTTTATAAGTTTTAATAATTGTTTGTGTTGTCCAGTTTTTGAGTGAAATTTATAAATTTGCTGAAAACAATTTATAAACACATACTTTTCTTTTGGAATCTCAATAAATAGAAAATAACAAAAAAAAAAAAACATATATGTTATGTTTATGTACCATCCTGATGAAGAGAATGGAGCTTAAATTTTCAACTTTTCGCCAAAAATTAAAATGAAGACATTTGGGATTTTGAGCATATGTTATTGGAAATAATGATGTCGGATTCGAAACGCACTTTGGTAGTGAGCCCATATGCAGGGTTTGCCAAATAATTTTTTTTGGAAAATGCTATAAAAAATACTTCTGAATATTTTTTCGAAGTCCTTTTTTCTTGTACCCTAAGCTCAATACTTCGGGTTAATAATGGAAAAAATTATTCAAATGGCTGCCTCGACTGGCCATGCAATGCAATTTTTAAGCACATTATCGATTGTGTGCAGTTGTATGACCTCTTCTCGGCATAACACTTATCTTTGACGGGACCGTTCTTTAGTAGTCAGTCCATATACAGATTTGGCCAATAAAACATTTTTTTTTAGAAAATGCTATAAAAAATACTTCTGAACATTTTTTTCCAAATTCTGGAAAAATAATGGGAAAAAAATATTCAAATGGCTGCCTCAACTGGCCAAGCAATGCAATTTTTAAGCACATTATCGATTATGTGTAGTTGAATTTCACCATTGGCTTTACGAATATATTCCTTCAAAGAGTAAATTTTCCCTGGATTGTCGGCGTAACGCTTATCTTTGACGGCACTATACAAAAAAATAGTCAAATCGCATCACCGAGGTGACCAACTGACATCAGCTCTGTGGCTGATAATGCGATCTTCAATAACTGGGCGCAAAACATCAAGTGTAGCTTCGGATTTTGTGGACAAAAATTTGGCCCGATAACATAACAGTCACACCTTGCTCATTTTCGAAGAATACACACCCATATTTGTTTAGATGAAGGATAAAAGTAATTATCTTTCAAATTAGACATGAGCTAAGTTTGTTGCCATTCTCGAAATAAGCACTAATTTCAAATGAAAACGTTATATACCGGACACTGCATAAGCGACGACGTTTTACAAAACATTAACGTTTTACAAATTTAGGTCGTAGTAAATGTTCAAAAATCTTAGAGATTAATTCAATATCAGTGCATGCAAATTCCAACATTTTACAAATTCTTCGTGCCCAAAATTTTCGGACAAATTTATAACCTTAAAAGACGAATATGAAAATTTCGCTTATCATCAAAACACTTTTACGTTGTCCAATGCACAATAAATATTAGCAGAGATAAAACAATTTTCAAGCCATTTACTCACAATTTATGGTCGAACTTTTTCATACCTCATCCTCATTAGATTTGTTTTGAACAAAGATAATGATGCTTTTGCAACGAAGAATTGACGTCACTGTCTTTGCTTGGTCTGTTATGACACATGAAACTCGAACTATTGGTTTAAATGATACGGGACCCATTGCTAGTTATTTTCAAAAACAATGAAACGTCATGTATTTTGCTAAAGTTTGAAATTTTATATAGATACATTTATGTTCAGTTCCAGAACCTGCAAGAACCTATTAGTTTTGCATTTCTTCCGATATCGGCTCCGAAAATCAGTTATCATTGTTAAATTGTTACATTCTTGCTGTTGAGAAACATATTTTTTTATAAAACAATTCATTCTCAGATTTTTTATAATTTCATTCAAAAACTTTATGCCAACAACATATTTTTCTCCAATAACCTAGATCTTAGTTTATTATCAACTTTATTTTCAAACGCATAAATCGATTATGGATTGCAACTAAACATTGGTCTCCTGGTCAACAGAAAAAATGTTTAGGTTTCCTATTGAAAATTTTAATTTTTTTTTTCAATGAATAATGAAGGAAACCAACAATATTTTATATATATATTTACTAATACCCGGTTTTATCTCCCGGCACTGCAATTGCAGGTGAGTTGCAATCCATAATCCCAGTCCTTTCTTGTTGTTAGAATTATATGAATGTTTTTTATATAGTCTGTAAGTTGCAAAATGTTGTCCACTGTTTACAAACCCATAATTTTGGTTTATTAATTTTGAAATTGTCTTTCGCCCAACAAGCGCTCATCTATGTACTAATAACAAAACAACAAGAAGAAATGATGAAGGTGTAGCTAAAGAAGAAAAAAATCATAGGTTAGGAGTTAAAAAATATTAACATTTAGACTGAATAATTATTATATACAAAAAAACAACAAATTATAACTACAACAACCAAAAAACAACAAAATTCTTAAAAAATAAATAAATAGTTCTTATTAAAACAATATTTCCCAGACATTTGTAATTATTTTGTTTGAACATAAAAGAACACCTAAAGGTATGTAATTCTAACCTTAAAACAGAGAAAATGTGTATTAGTTTTTGTTGGTTTTGCAAGTACTTTTTTATCTTTTTGAAATGTTATTTAATGTTAATTGAATGTTAAACAATTTGTAATACCAAAAATATAAACAAAACTAATTAAATTAATTTTGTATGCCATTCAGTATGTCATCTACCCCAATCCCGCCGCTTTCAATTCCTTTGTTTTATGTAATCCGTTTTATTTTTTGTTTTTGCATTTAATTTCCTTATAAATTAGTATTTGCATACGACCAACTGAACAACAAACGATTCAACAATTTTATCATCTTTTCTTTTAATTGCAGTTATACGATCGCTTTGGTGATCCAGGTTACTTTGTTGGTGGTTACAAAGGCGGCAATGCCATGACGGTGGTCTAATTTGGCCAAAAATTTTGTTTAGCAACCAACAGAACGCCGCTTCCATGTCCTCACTATCTGTCACAGCCCTCCCTCCTTCCCTCCTCTCTCCCATCAATGATGAACAACAAGGCAAAGCAGCAACTCAATACGGTAGTTGAGTTCAATTGAAAATTTGTTTTGTGTCAAAAACATAACCATGTTTTTTTTTTTTTAGAATAAGAAATCCAACGAATTACTACGAATGCGTATATTATATCTTTTCCGACACTGTGTTTACATGTATATTATATAATAATATTGATACTTTTTTATTTGACCTTATTTTTGGAATATTTGTTTGCTTGTGTGTATGTGTAAATAACAAACGAGAATTTGTTAAAACAAACAAAAATTTGTTGCTCCCATCATTTGTTGCCACCAATGCTTTCGCTTGCATTGGCCTGTATGTGCCAACCTCGTAAAGAGCTGAGCGCGAGCAATATTACCTTCTTTCTTTGAATGTATAAATGTGTAAAATCATTTCATTTTTTTTTTTTCAAATCTATGTTTTATAGTTTTTCTTTGTTCAATTCATTTCGTAAACTTTCGTTTCGAAATATTTTCTTATAATTCTGTTCGAATTAAAAATGAAAATGATTCTTTTTTTAATTGTGTGTATGTATGTTGATAAATCTATAAGTATAAAATTTTGAGAAACAAAAATGAAAATAATTTAAAAATTATATTTTTTAAAAAAATAAATATAAATAAAAATCATAAAATATTAAATGAAATTGATGGGGTTTTATTATATTTTTAATTGGTGTTTTCATGCCATTATTTAGTTGAAAATTGAAATTGAAAAAAATATAAACACATTTTCTGAACATCGACAACTCATAAGTTTTGTTGTTGTTTTTTCTATACGAGGACGAGGACATGCATAGGCAAGTTTTGTCATAAGCGATTACAATATTCAAATACGAAAATTGGAAAAAAAAATCCAGCGAGTAATGTTGCTACAATCATCAAAATACCGAACATATGGAGGTACTGAGAGTGGACTTATACGAAGGCCTGGACCTGCATAGACAATTTTCTGTCATAGATTGTAGTTCCCATTATGAACTCTAAATACGAAACAACTCCAGTGAATGATGTCGCTAAAATCATCAAATTGCCGAATATCGGGAGGTACCCTTGTATGGCTGCTATACGATATCGTGGACCAATATAAACAATTCTACTTCAGAGGGTAAAGTAGTCAGAAAAAACTCCTTGTGTGGATTTTCAGACAATTCCATTGGAAAGTGTGGCTAAAATCATTAAAATACCGAATATCGGGTTGTACCCTTGTATGGGGACTATACGATATCGTGGACCGATATAGCCCATCTTCAAACTTGATCTGCCTGCAGACAAAAGACTGATTTGTGCAAATTGTGTGATTTGTGCGTGATTACAACAGTCGGACGGACGGACAGAGGGACAGGGCTAAATCGTATTAGAATTCTACGCCGATCAAGAATATATGTACTTTGTCATGTCTAAAATGATTATTTCGATGAGTTGTAAACGGAATGACGAACTTAATATACCCTCAATACTATGTTGGTGCAGGGTATAATAAAATGCAAGACCTCTACTCTCTGTGTTTAAATGTGAAATGATTTCATTTTGTAATATGAAGCATGCTTTGAGGCGTTTCGCATAATGCACTTCCGTTAAAATATAACGCCTCAAATTATACTTTTTTTTAGTTAGTTTGACAATGACTTTCACTTGTCATCTGGCAACGCTGCTTTATACATCTGCAATTGAAAAATGTAAAACTTCATGTTTTGACTTTTCAACTAACAGGCGACCAGAACAACGTAGCAGCTATATTTTGGATCATTGTAAAATTAAAATGGCTATTACTCAGCAACGAATAGAGGGATTTTTATGAAACTTTCACTATTCGATAGGGAAAACATTGTAGTTTTTATGTATACCATAGGCAAATATGTGCAACACCAAGAAGAGAGAGAAAATCACAGTAAAATCAACAAATTGAAAAAGCCCCAGAAGTGACTGATTTTTGGCAAATATTATGGAAATTTTTTCAAAAATGCTGATGCTAAATGTAATACTAAGGGGAAATAAAGAATTTGTTGAAAAATATTAACAAACATCGGTCACAAAAGCGAATAAAAACAACGACACCAAGACAATTTATTTAAAAAAATCAACCCAAAACCTCAGTCAGGATAAATATAAACATTTTACCAATAAATTCTCTTCACAAATATTATAATTATAACAAAAAGATTAAAAACCTCATTTACACACGTTACAGGATAAATTGATAACAATTTCGCTGAACACTTAGGCGACAGAGCATTGCATATATTCATACTTAAACCCCTTTTTCCCAAAAAAAATATCAATTGAGTTTTTGTTTTTTTTTCTTATTTATTTTTAAAAAGGTATTTTCGTGTGTTTGCTTTTTCTTGTAGTAACTGCTTAATTACATCAAATAACTATAAATTGTTTAAATTCCTCTATTTATAAACTTCCTGAGGTGATGTTTTCGCTTCACATAGGTTTTTGTTTCTCTATATAATAATTTTTCAACAACTATTCATTTTATGTTTTTCTTCATTTTTCTTTTAATTTACGAATACACTATTTTAATAAAATTTGTGTTTAGCTTACAATTTCATTTGTTAGTAACAATCATATATATGAATAAAATTTAGAAACTTTGTTCAACTCTCGGGGCAGAAGGAATTTGCATTTGTTGCCTACTTTTGCCCAAAAGCTGTTGTACAGTTACGACGACGACGATGTTGTGCATTCATATAATCATAGCGAGATTTCTGTAGTTTTTTAAAAAAAGAAAAATTTCACTTAAATTAAATATTTATTATTTATAATAATTAAAAAATGTATATTTTTCTCCAACCAAAAAATGTATGCACTTTAGTTGGCGGGTGCATCTTCGGGAGCGGGGAATTTTTGCCAAGTGGGTTCAACGCCCCAGATTTCGCGAGCATATTCAGCAATAGTACGATCCGAGGAGAATTTACCGCTGGAAGCAATATTGTGGATGGACATTTCCAACCATTTGGCTTGATTCTGAAATTGAAAAAAAAAAAAACATTTTAATAAACAAAACCCAAAAAAATCATTAGTTTTTCTAACATACCTGGTATGTCTTAGACACCTTATCCTGGGCCTTGATGTAATCTTCATAATCAGCCAAAAGGTAATAGTGATCGTACTTCAACAAAATATCAGCAATATTCTTGAATTCATTGGGATTGCCTGGGCTGAAGAAACCGCCAGCAATTTGATCAACACACTGCTTAATCTCGGGATTGCTGTTGTAGTAATCGTAGGCATTGTAACCCTTCTTCTTGAGGGCCTCAACTTGATCAACGGTCATACCGAAGATGAAAATGTTGTCATTGCCCATTTCTTCGGCCATTTCAACATTGGCGCCGTCCAATGTGCCAATGGTGAGGGCACCGTTCAACATGAATTTCATGTTACCGGTACCGGAGGCTTCAGTACCAGCTGTGGAAATTTGCTCAGACAAATCAGCGGCTGGCATAATCTTCTCGGCCAAGGTGACGCGATAGTTCTCCAAGAAGATAACCTTGAGTTTATCACCAACAATGGGGTCATTGTTAACAACATTGCCAACGGCGCAGATCAATTTGATGATTTGCTTGGCAACATAGTAGCCGGGAGCGGCCTTGCCACCAATCATAATGGTACGAGGAGCGAACTGGGCGGTGGGATCCTTCTTAATGCGATTGTACAAAGTAATAATGTGCAAGCAGTTCAACAATTGGCGTTTGTATTCATGGATACGCTTGACTTGAATGTCAAACATGGAGGCAGGATTAACTTTGACGCCATAGTCTTTTTCCAAAATTTGAGCCAATTTCAATTTGTTTTCTTGCTTGACACGGGCAACTTCGCGTTGGAAGTTGGGATCCTTGGCCCACTTTTTCAAAGCAACCAATTGATCCAAATGGACGGGCCATTCATTGCCAATCTTTTCGCTGATCAAATCAGACAAACCAGGATTGCACATCAACAACCAACGACGGGGGGTAATACCGTTGGTTTTGTTCTGGAACTTCTTGGGATCCATTTGGAAGAACAAATTGAACAAATCGTCCTTCAAAATTTGCGAGTGGATGGCGGCTACACCGTTAACAGCATGAGAGCCCACAATGGACAAATGGGCCATGTTAATGCGTTTCTCACCATCTTCTTCAACCAAAGACATGCGGCGCATGCGTTCCAAATCACCGGGGTAACGTTTCTTAATGTTCTCCAAATGTAAGAAATTGATGTGGTAGATGATTTGCAAGTGACGTGGCAAAATGGACTCCAACATGGAAACGGGCCAGCGTTCCAAGGCTTCGGGAAGGACTGTGTGATTAGTGTAGGCACAGGTACGTACAGTGATGTCCCAGGCCTTGTCCCAATCCAAATGCTCTTCGTCAATCAAGATGCGCATTAGCTCGGGAATGGCCAACGAGGGATGGGTGTCATTCAATTGAATGGCCACCTTTTCAGGGAAGTGATCGAAGTTGGTGCGCACAGCTTCGCGACTGCCGAACTTAGAGGCCTTATAACGTCGGATGATGTCCTGCAAAGTGGCAGCTACCATGAAGTATTCCTGCTTCAAACGCAATTCCTTGCCTTCGAAGAAGTTGTCGTTGGGATACAAGACACGAGAAATATTCTCGGCCAAGTTACGATCCAAAACAGCTTGGATATAATCACCATCGTTAACTAAAAAAATCAAAATTAAATCTCTTCTCTTGGAAGTTTGCTCAATATGTTTGTTACTTACAGAATTTCAAATTGAAATCAATGGGAGACTTTGCTGACCACAATCTCAATGTGTTGACATAGTTGTTGGCATAACCAGGAATGGGATTATCATAGGGCATGGCATATACGATTTGTGTATCAACCCACTTCTTGCCTTCGGGTGTATCAATGACACGACCATAGAAATTTACAGGCAACATGAATTCGGGCCTGGCCTTTTCCCATGGATTGCCGAAACGCAACCAATCATCGGGTTCCTCCACTTGTTCACCGTTCTTGATCTTTTGGGCAAAAATACCATATTCATAACGGATGCCATAACCGTAGGCGGCCAAACCAAGTGTAGCCATGGAATCGAGGAAACAGGCAGCCAAACGGCCCAAACCACCATTACCCAAGCCGGCATCTTCTTCCATTTCTTCAAGGGATTCAATGTCCAAGCCCAATTGGTACATGGCCTCTTCGCATTCGCTTTGGACACCCAAGTTGATCATGGTATTTGTTAGGGAACGGCCCATGTAGTATTCCAAAGATAGGTAGTAGACGCGCTGGAAAATAAAAGAATATTTATTATTAATTTTGGATTTTTATTTATTTGGAATTTATTATATAACCCAAGGATATTTTTTTTAAACCTAACCTCTTTCTTGTTTTGGATATCAGTTCCATAGCCAATTTATTTGCTTATAAATTTTCCGTTAAGGATGATGGATTTTAGAGTGCATTGAGTCCACTTCTGCCGTAAGTACACCGCTCCCAAATTGTTTACAAACAAAACGTGTTTTTAAAAATACAATTAAAATTTCTTATTTGCACTTTCGCTATCATTGCAAATATCGAGAGGTATTAAGAGTGCAAACACAACAAACGACCATTATCATTCTCTTAAGTATTTCTCCCCACAACAATATACTCTCCCCATGACAATAATAACAATGAGAGGTAATTGCAGTCA